TGAGGTGGTAAATTTCATCCTTTACATGCATATATATATTTACTTTATAAATAACACGTGACAGCGTGCGGTTATTGTTCGTCGTCCGACAGGTAAAGCGATAAACTTTTGCCCCATCCACCCCAACCCACCCATACACACACGCACACACACACACACACACACACGTCATAGTCGTTTCAAGCGTTGAAACCTCACCTAATCGAAGCAACATTTAGCGTCCATATCGTCGGACACCTCGCAGGGATACTCAGAGACATCGATGCGTGGACAGTGTACGGCTCCATTCGCTTTGGACCAAATACGCGCAGACGTGTTTTGCATTATATATGAAAACGGTGACACCATCCCAAAGAAAATTACATTTTTTCAACAGATTTTCCAGTTGTTGTTCTATATAGGTTCTTCGGACGCTTGGAGAAACTATTGTCGAAATCAAACACTTATCTATTTCCTGCAATTGTGTTCACGCCTAACTATAGTGCCACAATAGCTTTTTCTGCTGTGAAAAAGTGAAAGAGATGACGAAGAAAACGCGTGAAACCAATGCATATATTGTATCGCTTAAAATTTAAAAGGGTCGACACTTGTACAAAATATGATTCGTAAATAATTGTAAAAATAATGTATTAAACCGGTAGTGCCACACGAGTCGTGGCTTTATACACATATAACATCGATTTTTCGACGAGGCTTTGATCGACTACAAAAAGTGTAAAGGTACATTTTATAATATTACCTACCTTTATAACCCTTGTGTAAAACGTATAGGTATAAAGTAGCGATATATTTATTATTATTTTATCCGTTTGGTTCATTATACGGTTTTGTAGAACCGAAACGTCGTTTTTTGTTTGCCAAACGAAAAACTTCGTCCCGCTTAAATATATATATTAACCAGCGGCGGCCGCAGACCGACCGCAGAATCGTAAATTGCACTCGGCTTATTTTTTGCGTCCCGCACAGCATAATACACATACATATATATACGCTCCGGGAACGCGAGAGCGCGCGCGCCCTTTAAGCTTATAAATTGTGTTTTGGATTCAAACGAGCTCCCGTTTCCCGACGGAGGTGAGGGCGACAAGGGGGAGGTCACCTCTCGCCCCTGCAAATCGGCGGCGGCGGCGGCGGCGGCGGGGAGTCAAGAAAAATCGTTGCGCGCATATATAATTAAGAAGGCTACGTCGTAAAACCTAAACTCCTCCGCGCCATCCTCTCCTACCTCACACACGCACACAGCCGCACACACACACACACACACACACACACACAGACACACACACACACACACGCACACAGACACACGACGGAGGCGGCGGAGCCTTTTGTTTCTGCAGTTTACTTGGACTGCTTTTTATGGCGCGAGTCGCCGAGAGAAGGAGGGAGATGAGTTATACCAGATTAAAATACAGCGCGCCTCTCGTTTTCATCGTCCGCTGCCGTCCCCCGCGGTCCGCTGCAGCTCGGGCTCAATATGGCGGAATATATACCTATATATATATATATATATGTGTGTGTGTGTGTGTTCAACAGGGATCGCAGTGCTTCCCGGTCTGCCGTGTTTTTAACGACTAGCCCCTTACGCACACTGTATAGTGTACAAATTATATAAATATAAATAATATATGATATTTATTAATTATTTATATAAACGGAAGACTCTATATACAGTTTTTGGAAAAAATATTTTCCTTTAGTGGGCGCCCCACCACGCGCCGCTGTCGACACTCATCCAATGTCAACTGCGGGTCCTATCATCAGAGCATTATATAATGAACTAGTACCTATTATTATATTATAGTTCAGATTTGTATGTACCTATTTTAGTTGTTGAATATATTTTTGTGTAAATGCAGGCTGAATTGAGATCAAAATTAAGAAGATTTACTAAACACCGAGTTTATTTTGAGAATGTTTCAAAATCCTAATCCTAAATTAAATAATATGTACATTTTTTTTAATGTCTGATCATGCACTTTTTTGTAATTATTTGTAATTTTTGTAATTTTTAATAATTCAATATTTTTTAAATAAATTAACGGCAATAGCTGACCAGTACCAAAAATCATTTAAAGTTACACTTAAATTGTGCATCCAACAATGATGATTATATTTTATAGTGACAATTTGATTTGTCGGGTATATTTTTGTTAAAAATCTTAAAATCTGCGAATTAAGACATTGATTGTTTCATCGATTATTTTTCCATAAGTATTAAGTATATTTCTTTTTTTAAGAGAGTATAAGAATACATCTGCGTAGATTTATATGATACAATAAGAAGTATATTTCAACATTTTAAAGTTTGAAAATCAGAACAAACATTTTACTTAGGTACTTAGATTGTTTTATGTGCATATCGTGTGTATGGATTGAATTTCTAAACAATGAAAAAGATTATTCTTAATTTTTAACTGGCAATTTTTTATTGTTAGTAAGAAAAAATGTTAGATTGTGCCAAAAAAAACCGCAACTTTATTTTTTTAAGTAGTAGGTTACAACTATTTGTTAATTTCTTTTCGTAAATACCTCTTTCTTAAAAATGTTGAGTCATTCATCAATTTTAGCTCAATTTATTAATTTACCGTCCTCTGAAGTTAAGTAAACTCATTAATAGTTTTTGTTAAAATAAATTGAAGAATGATAAAATTAGAGTTATAGATAGGTACATGTTTTTATTAAATTATCGCCTTATACAATATTTCATGTATATTTTTTATGATAATAGAAAATCTAATGAAATAAAAACAAAAAAAAGTCGAATTTCATTAATTTTTAGTATGGGAGCCTTCAAAAATAGCTGGAAAGCATAGTTGACTATTTTTAATTGTAATAACATATAATAGTAATAACATAAGAAACTACTTATTAGTTATTGTGAAATCATAATTGTCTATATCGATTAGTTAAATAATTGTTTCCCCGTACTAACTTTGATGAGTTCGATTAGTTGAAATGGTGTAAATGTGGCTAAAACGATATCTTCCTAACTAATAGTTTACCTAATTCGATTATAAAATAATATTTTAATTTCAAAATATTAAAAAAAATTACAAAGACCTTCTGAAAATTTAACGTTTTATAGGGAGATATAACAACAAATGACAAAATATAGCACGTCTCTCAATATTTTTCGTTTTCAAGGATAATCGATAAATAATAATAAATATGTAGTTACCTAATAATAGTAACCGTGACAACGAAAACCTTCCGAAAAGACCTTAAGGTCAGAAATAAAAAAAGTATGTAGCCCAAAAACATATGTATGTTAAAAATAATAATAACATAAAAAGAAAATATAAGAATTGCGGACTTGAGCAGACTGAGACGTTAACCACCGATTGTCAGACTACGATCACGGGCTACCATGTTTAGTGAAGTCAGGGTCCTTTTTAACAATCAAGATGGTGAAGCTGTTGGGGTTGCCGCTGTAAATTAGGCACGTGTTCCACAACCTGTAGATTGTGGATGCCGTGCACCCACAACCGGTGGTCAAACACTGTAGTACAATAGAGTACCTACGGCGGATGGGTCAGGGACGGTGTCTGTGTCCCTGACCATCCTGCACGTGCCGACCGGATGGTAAATATAGTGTGGTGACAATGAAGTGCCGGTGCATGCCGTCTTCTCACCGAACAGCTCTAGATATTATTGGTTCTGGTACGGGCGTCAGCAGTGGCCTGGTAGGTATTGTGCTTGTTTGCCGGTGTTGGACACGTTGAAATGGCCTGTTAATCCCAGTTCTGATGACCATCCGAATTTTAACGGAACCGGGCTCGAGGTGTAAGTTTGAAACTAAATCTCGTACTATTTGGAATTTACGAACGTCTGGGCGGCAATCTTTCGTACACCACACTTAATGAAACTTTTATTAAGAATTAATAGTTGTATACATGAATGGTTATTGTTTACACTCATATAGAAAATCTATTTTTTAATTGCCTAGGTTGACTTAAGTGCATATAAGTACTTTTAAGTTGTAGGTATATAACTAGGATTGGCAGTGGTTAAACTGCAGTGTATATAATAAATAATGTCAACTTAAAGTAGCAATGCTAAAATATATTTTAATCTGAAATTATATAAGTACTTAATTTAATGCATAACGATGTGTGCATGGTTTACAACAATAACTTTTAAAACTTCATAAAGAATGAACTATCGAACTTTACTATATATAAGAGATTATATTTAAAATTGACTGGTTATTGAATAGTTTATTTAAAATTTGTTTAAAAAAGTAAAATAAATGTATAAATTAAAAATTAAAGAATCGATGAATAGAGAATTAGTAGACTTGTATTCCAAATGTTTTTAATCGAAACAGTTAAGTAAACTTAAGAGGGGCGTAGCTTAAAGTAGAAATTAATAATTCTCCACAGCAAAATGTTCATAAAAAAAGCACTAGGTACTAGAATCCATTAAGCAATAAATATCTGTTACTATATTAAAAAAAGTTGATTTTGTTGTTGATACACATATATGTGGTTACAAAATTTCAAACTATCTTAAAAAAATTACCAGTAAAAAATAATTACACGCGTTTTATGAAATTCCAAATAATCGATTCACAATCATTATAAAAACTACACTTTAACTACATATAAGAATATTTCTCTAAACATGTTTTTAATACTGTGTGTATTATAATGTAATATATGCATAGACGCATAGTAGTTTGTGTTCAACTGCAATGGTCATAATTTGCAATGCTATAGAGATTGTATGGAATAGTGATTACGATTATTTATTTTCATTATCACCTAACTCCCAAATTTGATACTTTTCACATATTATGCATAAAAAAGGTTGATTTTTAAGTTATTTGAAATAGAATCCGCTATTGTAGCAATACATTTCTACAGTGGAAATTTAAGCCGTACAGCAACGAAACCGTTCCTATGAGTTTGTTTGGAGTACAAATATTATATATATATATTATATTATATACATAGGTGTGTGATCCAGGTCGGGAAACATATATATATATATATATATATTGCAGGATTGTCGGATGGGGTCCCAGACCTCAATTAACATACCACTCGAGGGTGTATATGAGTGTATGACAACAGTATTTCGGGGAAAATATATTTGTTTTAATTGTACATGTTTGGATAACAATTTAAATAGCATGATAAGTTTTTGTTTATATAATATGCCTATAATAGGATGAAAGTCTCCTCAGCTGTAATTTTTTTTAAAAAATAGGTAGGTACATTTAAATACTTCCAGAGAGATTATAGTTTTTATAATTTTAATTGATTAACGTATTCTTACCACGTTGCGGTTTATTACTTTTTAGGTAGTTTTTGTTGTGTTATGAAAAACACGACTCTCTGTAGGTAGGTATATAAAAGGTCAATGCTGGGCATATAATGTGTGTTTAATTTAAATAGAGGTTATTTCTTCATGAATAAAAATCAAATTTGGTGTCGTTGATTTTAATTTTAAATATAATTATTATAGTATGTTATATAGACCCGTTTTGTGATATATAGTACTATAAACCATAAACGAACATCTGATTTAAAAATAATAAATTAACTTATAGTTCAGAGAACAACATATTAAGTATACTAATAATAATTTATCGACGAGTGTTATTTATATACTATGACGTGTTGAATAACAGTGAACATAATTTCTGAGACAAAATCGTTATCGAACGCTATAAAAAAAAATATTTTTTTTTTCACTTTTAAATTCCGATGACCTATATCGATAACGCTGACATTGTTCGATTCGGTTGATTATGTTTTTATTTATTTTTTCATTTCATATATTATAGCTATAGCCAATCAACCGTTTTTTATGAGGCCACTTTATTTACGTCGCCCACGTCACAAACGCGTGCATAGATAAACACGCCAGGTGAACAGGAGCATATGGTCAATTCGTCTTGGTGGCGTTTTTGTTTTTGCCATCGCCCGCGCCGTTGCTTCAATTACATTATTATTATTATTATTATTGTTATTTTTTCTCCACGCTGAGCGTACGTGTGTTTGTAAAGCACCTAGAGGCATCTAGGAAAATCGTCGTTCCGGACCTGTTGAAACCCATACAATCCAACAGCTGCCCGATGGAATAATGTAAACATTGTATAAAACTAAAAAAAATATTCAAAAAAAATGTGTGATATTATATAATAATAATGGTCTTATTGTGTTGTATTATTTTTTTACTGTGCAGGTACCCATAAGTATGGTCAAAATCATGAACTCAAAAATTCCATTTACGTATAATGTACCATATATTACGATATTCTATAGCTGTCTGGAAATTCAGTAGCACCATCCCTTTAATCATTCATTATTTGGGCAGAAGAACTACGAAGGAGGTATACTGTTGTGACTTGAAAAGATCAATTTTATTTAAGTGTTTTTATGTTGTATAGCATTTTTATTGTGAAACCATGGGATTTTACCGTCAAAGATACTATGTGTCGAATAACAATTTTAATTATTTGTAAATTATATTATAGTTGTAAAGTGTAGTGCACCTTAGCTACGACTATGATACCCTGAATATAATTGATATTTGATTACCGCTTACGTAAGTAGTGATTTTAGTTCAAAATTATGACGCAGTAAAAATATTAAGTTATGTTTTATTTCTCATTTAGTCGTGTTACAGTATTATGTGCTTTCTACCTACTATATATTTGACTGTTACAGTCGTCTTTCAGTTTTTGTAAATGGATTATTACAATTAATGTATTTTTCCGTTTGTAACAACATTTCAATATAGCAATTTCCTTCGTCATAACGAATTACGACTGTGCAGAAAGTATTGTACGTAATAAAACCATTGCTTTTTGTTATTAATTCTAATTTCTTATCAGTATTAGGTACCTATTCTGTTGCTTTTGATTTTTCCAGGTCATGTGAGTTTACAGAATCATTCATTTAATATTTAGCTGCAGACTAATTTTCGTTGTTCATAGTATTGTTATATTGGTTATAGAATTATGTATCAAAATAAGAAATGATAATTAATTTTTTTAGGACTTGATATGGTATTTAATTTTTATCATATATAAAGATTTTTATTTTTTATTTGTACAACATACAGTACAAGATTACAGTTTAAGACGTTTGTATAACGGATATTTGAATGTAAGATGTTCCTCAGCATATTTAAGGTTATATTGATATTTCCGAACAGACAATATTGAGCGAAAAGTATCTGTTTCTGTGTTTAGTTAAATCTTCAAAGGGTTTATTTCTGAAATAAGCTGAAGTCCAACATGGCAGATAAACTAATTAAATGAAGACGAAGAATAATTATTTTGATCATCTATATTAATTAAGCCCGTATATAACAATGTGTTTAATCTCTTTTAAAAACGTAATTTTATTTGACAGTATATCATCATCGTCATATTCTTAATTTAATAGGAGTAAAGTAGGCCCTAAAGTAGAACTACAGTTCTTCTGAGATGACTTACTTCAGCATGTTTTATAATCAATAGATGTTATTTAATATATAATTATTGTTTCTTCAACTATTTTCAATTATTTTTTACAAACAATTTTTGAATTTGTGTACTATATATGTATTATTGTTCGGAGTATTTTTTAATTTTAACAAAATGTGTGAATTTTATACGTACTAGAATAAATTATCAAAAAACGAGTTGCCATAATCAAAAAATATAAAATAAATTATAATGTAGATTTCGTATGTGCGGTATTGTGGTGCAAATTATTAATAGAGTTGAATACTGAAAATTGAATTTTTCAGTCATTCCATGAAGTTCTATTGCAGAAATGGAATATTGGTGAACCAATGCTATTGTATATGTATGTATAAATAATTAAAATAAATGCATGGCAAATATTCTTTAAGATCGACTAGAAATTGATAATGACAATATTGGTTGACCAAGTCTCACGCTTATATACGTGAACAAATTGAAACAGTGGTGATGGCTTCAGCGGTGGATGAAAAGATGATGTTACCGATTGTACTCTTGGTCGGGGTGTGGTGGTGATGCGGCTACAGTGGCGTCCATCAATCACGGCTTGGTGGGCCTGGAGGATTCGTGCGAGAGCGTCAGTTTTTCGGGTAAACGAAACGTTTCAAAAACATACAATATTAATAGCATCCGTTTGTTTTGGGTAAGAAAAGCGCAATGGCGTCATTGTGCGAACGCGTCAGCCGTAACCTCCCGAGCTCCCAAACAAATGGCCGCATTTTCTGCCGAAAACCTAGTCGTGATGGTCGGCGGGGTGAAGAGGAGAGAGCGAGATAAATAATGGACCGATGGTAAGGATTTAGGATCGACGGTGTAGGGGAGGCGGCCGTGGGGGTGTGGGTTTCGTGTCTAGAGAAGAAGAAGAAGGATTTTTGGAACGAAAGCTCGACGATATTACGACGGGTGAGGTGGGGCTGTGCGGTAGGGTACAAGACAGTATATATAGTGACGACTGAGCGTGCCGGCGGGTGAGAAGCTCATTGGACGTGGTGGTGGTCGGAAGAGGGTGACAAGGACCCCGGATGGTGACGGGGACGATGGTATACTGTGGGTGGGCGAACGGCGCAGGGTGTGTTTTCCTTTGGATGCAAAAAGGAAGCGGCAGGGTTCGACGGCGCGGAACGTCTCGGGCGCGCGCACGCACAAAAAGAACGGCAGACAAAATCCCCGAGCCTCATATTTCACTGTCTGTCAAGCCGTCAGGGGTTTTTACAATATAACAGATAAGCATCTGGCGAAGAAGAATTGCGCCCATCAAAACGGATCCACCACCACTACCTCCGTCCCCGCTAATATTATTATACAATTTATATGTGCACGTACATATCTCCACCACGCCACCGCTGCTGCAGCCGCCGGCCGATTCTAGCAACAGCTTCGCACCAATAACCGTACACGAGATTAGCATGGATTTTCGTTTTCTTCGGATGGCCATTAGATCACTGATGATGGAGCGATGGACTGATTTCTGCCATCGCGTAGACAGTTCGGTACCGTCACTATGGCAGAAATTCACAAAGGCGTCGCTGTATGAATGTTATATAACCTGCACAGTGATGTCTGCATCACCTCGATCGGGCCGAGTATTCTAAACAAACGGAAACCAGAAATGATACAAGTTTTGGTTTCAGTCGAATTTGAACTACAAATATCGAAGGACGAAATATCTTGTACTCATATACCTTTGAATCTACCAAGATTTTAAAGCTATTCTTTACACTTACATAATGTAATAACATAAATATATTACAAAAAAATACAAAACGTGTTGTTCCGGTTTGCTAAGTTTTGAACTGCAAATGGACCATTGCCGAAAATATAATTTAGTATAGTCACAGCTGTTGCAGGGGATAAAGTTCAGAAAAATCAAAGTTAAATGTAGTCTAGACTCAAAAGGTTTATTCATTATTAAAAAATAATTCCCAAAAATCAAATGTAAACAATAAAGTACTTGAGTGAATATTTTTTATTCTACTTTAAATAATTCTTTATAGTTGAATTGCCTATATTTAGAAGCGAATAATTAAAAAAATCACAATCATTAATCGTATTGTTTTTATATTGTGTTTAGTATAAATACCACTAAATCTATTTTATTTTTATGATACTGTCCAATATATATGAAGCTATTTGAGCTTCTAATTTTTCTCATAGAAGAAAACCATAAACATTGGAGTATATAGCTATGATTGATTCTGTAAACCTGGAATAATCAATAACCATATATTTACATCCAAAATATCGATATTATAATACATTTTAATCTTGTATTCCAAAATTAAAATAACATAATGGACGCATGCAGACATATTTTTGCTGTAGTAAAGACTTAGGTAAATACCAAAGGGGGCAATAAACGCATTTAGGAGGTCAGTACTCCAATCCCTCCCCCCCGGTTATGTCAATGTTCCTGCAAACAGTAATGATCTACTGGTCGAATGTTTTGTGTTTTCGGTGTATTAATTAAGAAGTTCAGAACGATAATGAATTATACACCTGTTGGTGTTACATCGTAGACGTTATTTCGCAAACGGCGAAAACCTTATATGTTTTTAAAAGCACGAAACATGTTATTATTTATTTACTCGTGAAACAAAATATGTGTATTATTTATAATTTGTTCTATTGGCGAAACCGGAAACGTTTTTAATGAGAATCTGTACAGTTATAATAATGATTAGTAAAATAATATAAAATGGGGACGATACATAAAGAGTAATAAATAATAATATAATAATTATAAATTATAATGATATAGTGATATACGATAATATTATTTTATTAAAGCAATATTTTTAAAGAAAAAATTGTGTAATTATGCTGAATTTTCCTGTAAATTTTCTAAAAAATAACATCAAAATGAAAGAAATAAAATGATAAAATTTAAATTTAGAATTAATTCATACCTATAAATTATAATATCTTAATCAAACAAATTAAATTAAATTATTATTTAATTGTTCTCTCATTCACTAAAAACTAGTTTTTGTATAAGTAAATATTTATAATAACTATTAATATTATATTTATGTGTATAGTACAATAACTAATACTATTTGAATTCAAATATTCCATAAGCATTATGCGATTTAATTACGAATTTTCGTTTAAAATCCTCAGTGATGAAAACACGGAGTTAAGTTTTCCTGTTTTATTTCAAATGACGTGTTTGGCAAATGTCAGAATATGTCGTCCTGTTATTGAGTTCAATCAACCATAGGTAATATTTTACGACGTATTATTTATATTTAAATTTGAATTTTCTTCAAAACAGTATTTCTTGTATGGAAGTTATTATTATTTATTGTTTATTCTATGTGCTCTTATGTATACCAAACGTCAATGAGAATCGATTAATTATGGCAATGTATGTAGGAATTCGTGGAAAGGACTTAATAAATTTCCGCTAATGCAGCTGACTCAAGTTCAAAATTATTGAACCTCAAATGTTTACGCTGAAATACACGTGTCTGTTAATAGTAAATGTATTGTATTTCATTGATTACTGTTGTGTCAAAACACTAATTATTGGTTATTACATCTTGCTTTTGTTGGGCAAGTTCACGACGCTATTGAGTATTATAACTAAGAAAAAAATACCGCTCCAAACACTTTCAAACACTGAATGCGTCTGTGATATGATTATACCACGATATATACGATATACCTAATATGCATTACCGTGCATTACAGTGCAATATGTTCGAACCTCTTATACCGATACTTCAGCGTCTGAGTACATTTTTGTGTCGTCTGTCGGTGAGGACATTAACGTGCACGATTCGAATGCTTTGAACGCTCGGCTCGGACAAAAAGTGCGAATCGAGAGGTATTTGAAAACGGCGGCGGTTCGAACAGTGTCACACTTACTGTTGCGGACGAAAGATTGAAAACTACACTATACAACCGACAACAAAATATGTTATTACTTCGCAATGTATACAGGACAGCGTGTTTCGGAAATCGGCCGCCGGTCGTGACGGAGCAACGGCATGTGTGCGCGCGTCGTCGCGTATGTGTATAATATTATTATAATGTAATAACATTATATATACCTATACGGGCATAGCTACGTTTATTGTGATAGAATTTAGGCGCGGACGTTAAATGCGGATTGCACAAAAAAAAATAGAGGGACCTTTTGAAAAAATCGTGAGAATATTAGGGTCATAACGTCGCTTCCGGCCATTGAACGGTGCGGCGGTCCGCGTGTCCGGACAACGCACCGCGCGAAAGCAACTGTCCCTTGCGCGTCTGCGACTGCCAGTGTGTGCGTATTCCAAGACCAGTTTTCCGTACTCAAAGGTGGTAACGTCCGTGTGAGTGTGTGCGTGTGTGCGCGTGTGTGAGCGCATAGGTATTATTATCGTTATTATTATTATTATTTACGACCCCGCGAGTGGACAATGGGACCAAACCGGTTGCCCGCGGCCGCCGTTGTTGTGCAACCCTTTGCGCTTGACCGGTGCGCGCCGATCGTCTTCCCAGCAAACCGGTTGCCCGTACTACAGAGGGATGAGCACGTCGGATGTCCCCCACACTTCCACCGTAATAGCACACACACACACGTACCTGGTTTGACACACACACACACACACACACACGTCCGAGCGAGAGGTGGTGGGAACCGCCGAGAAACCGAGTCCCGGCGCAGTCTTCGTTTCATGTATCGTCCGAATCGGTTGCCCGCAGAAAGCCACATCCGAGGTAAGTCGCCGAAACGGTTTTTACATTGTACTTATTATAGTCGATAAACGCATATTCGACGCGAAATAATTGAATTCTGATCTGCCGGCCGTTCGACGGTGTACACAATGTACGTTCGAAAATCCTATAACGATCAATCGTCTGTATAAATGATATTTTTGTTGTTATAATCGTAGTAGTGAATACCCGACGGAAGTAGTTTGTTGACCATCGGTATACCTCGGTGCTTGTTGAGCTTCGAAGCGATGTTCAGAAAGACGAGTCTGAACGTTATCATACCCTAATAACAAGTATATTGCGTGTTGGCGTCATCACGATGCTAATAATTAATAATTATTTTAATTTTTAATACGTAGGATCCGGTTTAATCCGTTGGTCTTCGTGTCTTGTAAACGACAGTAATCTATTAATTTTAAACAGTATTTTCATTTTGTCAAGAAATTATTTTAATTTCAATTGAAAACACACAACTTTGATTGAATAACACCACTCATTATGATTTTATTTTCATATTATGTAATATTTTATTCTTTTTTTCTACTGTATTTTTTTTTTTTTTTACACCAACAATAATATTTCATTATGAGTTGAAAAACGAAGTTTGTTTATATTTTTCGGAAAACCACGATTTGTGCAGAACACGAAATTATGTCAAGTTTTTTTTAACAAGTTTGCTAAGTAGGTTTTTTTGCAAAATGTTTTTTCATGTAAAATTTCTAATAAAAATAAAATCAACACTATCTTCTACTTTTGCTAAAACGGTGTCAGAAGTTGTTAAAAAATTAAACAAACGAGGAGAAGAAAGGGGGATAACACACACTGAATGTGTGTGTGAATACGTTCGCGAGTGTGTAACGTGTTTTATTTTTTAATTTAATCTAGTCTGACAAGTACCTATCGCACGTAGAACAACGGCACACTTGTACGCGAGCAACAACACGGAAAACAATCGCAGGTGAGTGGTTTATTAACGCGAGTGTGTTCAGGTTGTATTGTTTTCCATTAATGACCTGTGATTCTAGAGGGTCCCCTATTGTTTCCGGGATGCCGCGTCTAAACGACCCCCTTTTCTCTTATGTTAATGAGCGAATTTAACACATAGCATGGTTTTTAAGCGTAGTTTTTTCGCTAACTATTTTAAATAGTTACATTTTGTTCACGTGCAATATTACACATGACTTGAGTAAATACTTATGGTGCATAAAAGAAAATTACCTATATTAATTTAGAGGAAAGAATATTAAGTTCGAATTTTTTTTAATATACAAAACCAATTTTTTTATGCATACTTGATTTATCATTATCGAGAAACATGGGTTTCTAGGTTCATTTATAGGTACACTTTTTTATTGATATTTATTTCTTATATTTTAAAATTTTTAAAATCAAAATCAAAATTAAAAACTAAAATTTGTTTTAAACTTGGTTGTTTTGCTTTAGATAATTGCGCTATTAAGCGTATAATGGTATTTGACATAGAAGCGCGTTGTTTTCGTAATCATATTTTCATAGTATTGCTATAATGTTGTTATATAACAATCATTACGACTAGAAAAATTATAACTAAAAAATGTGTGTACAAAATCTAAAAATCTAAAAAAAACTTGATATCAGTAAGACCTCGACGCGACAGCATCCACTTTCCTTTAAATATTATATATTATTTTGTTTTAAAGGGATTTTTAGTGAACATTTGCTTATTTTTAACGACATACAAATTCATGTATCTGCGATTTCAAGATTATTCGAGCCTCTACGCATAACAACATTTGTGACGTTTTACATTTTCAATTGTATAATTTCTGGGTATAAGATATCGTCTCACAGTCCCTCGTCATTAAATTATTCTAACTGCATGACGGCTCGGCTCCTACTACTGCCGACTCCGATTCGCAGCAATCGATTATGGCCAACCAATTATACCGATAATGGTGGATGACGCGTATTTTTTTCCACCCTCCGTCCAGTGTACACCACGCTCATTCGCGTGAGGGTGGAACGTTCGACTCGGGTGCCATTTGTACATGTACGGGCCGATAAAAATGGCGCAGTTTTTTTTATTTTAATTTTACATTAGACGCTGCCATACAAATAAGCGGTATATTGAAATATCATTATTATATATGTACCTATATGCTTAATCATCAAAGCCAAATTTCAGGAGAAAAAAACACGTCATGACGATCGACAGTTGAGAATGGGGCATGAACATGAAATTTTAAACTAGCCTCCACAGTGTCAATATTATCATACCTATCACCTATGATTGTTATATAGGTACCTATAATTACTTGGTATATGATATTTTAAATGTAACACAATTCTTCCATGCAGAAATATACATTGAATATGCTAGATCGATATTATTGATCAGATAATTACACATGTCTATATTTTACAAGATCGAATACATTTACAAAATATAAAATTCGCATGCGACCAAGGATCAACACGGTGTAATATAATTTTGTGGTACAAAATGTTTATCGCATATATAAGTACCTATATACGTAAATAAAGCATACGGCTATACATTAATATTGTATAATATTATTAGGTATACTGTATTTTGGGAATAAGGCGTACACGGCGGCATTCTTAGTCATTTTAGGATTGTAGGTATATAATATATATAGATACAATTATTTCGTGGGTTTTAATTAGTTTGTTTCTCGAGGCCGTAATCAACCCAGAAGGTCTGCCGGAAGCGGTGGTGTCAGTATTAATTCGTCTGTTTAATTTTCCGACGAAAAAGACGGTGAAAACGCTTTAAATTGGTTGTGCCTAGTTATACTTTCCGAGCCGATTCTAGCCTATAATATATTATAGTGCATGTATGTATTTAGTATGCTGTAATTTTATAGTCAAGAAAATCGGTTACAGCTTTTGTATTATACATCATTGTAACAATTATATAACTATACTATAGTCAGGGTCTAGGGAATTTTCCACTAAATTTTCCCTTGAATAAAATTATACAGAAGTATTAAATATAATTAACTTTTAACATAAGAAGTTGTAATTAATCTAAAAATATATTTTTGTAATATTTATTCTAATTTTATTCAAACAATATATAACAATTTTGTTTATTTGTTAAACTTTTATATGCTGTTATCAAAATTCGATATGTCACACATGTACGGCAGGCAAATATATGTATTCTGATTTTTTTGATATTTTAACCACCGGAGAAAAATAACACATCTAATATTTGAAACTTATTAATATACCCAACATAAATGAATATTAAATACCTATACATATATTTTATGAATTGTACGGAAATCACAATATTGTTAAAAAAAAATATTTAATTTAATATATTAATTTGAAACAGTATTTGTTTGACACATAATGATTCCGAACAACTTAAACAAAGTTTAAATATGTAATACTATCCATTTATTAATAATGTACCATAAACGTTAAACATTGTTGCATTTATTTCACATTTCATACTATATATTGTGAATAAACCACGAACGTAATAGTAATTCAATACTTAAATTTCCCAAAAAAGAAACGTTATATACTATCTATATTATTATAACATTTACCATTTGAGATTATATCTTATACTCTTAAGTTTCTTATTATAATATTTTATTATATCTTATTATATTATTTCGTCGGTGCACTAATGATCACAATATGTGCCTTTATTATATTTTAATTGTGAAATAAGAATCGTTTTATTACGGATATGAATAATTTATTAGTAAAATCTCAAATTAGACATATGAACCAAAGGTCACATGCTGAAAACGTCCATATTAATAATGTAATCGTCAGACAAAAGTCATACCGGACGTATCTAAAGTTTCAGTTTCACATTAATATTATGATTCTATTAAATGTTTAATATACGCAATGTATCTCTCCCATGAAAGAACAATAAATTTAGAAAAACTCTATGACAGCCGTTGTATTTCTACTTATTTTATTGTGGCATATATTATAATATACGATATTCGTCGAAACTCTCCCGGTCAACCAGCTATACCGGACTTGGTTTCGGGACTAATTGTACTTAATACATTTATATTACAATATAATATATTATATAAGAGCCATGTGTCTTAGTTCTCACGTACAGAAAATTTCTAAAGGAGGACATCGGCGCAGTGGCAGTGGATAACGCAGTGAGCAAGACAGAGAAGGAGAGAGAAGGAGTGTGTGTGTAGGTGTGAGTGAGAGAGGACGAGAGAGAAAAAAAACCTTTTAGAAAACTCGTTGTAGAAAACTTTCACGAGGAATATGAAATTAAATGAAGAACTCGGTGGGTAATGGTGACTGGAGGGGAGTGGTTATGTGACAGGGAGGAAGAAAAACGAGAGGGTTATTAGAGACCGGGTTGTGAGAGAGGGAAAATGTAGGAAACGCGCGCGCAGAAAAACAGAAAAGGGACAAGGAATATACATTAAGGGTGCAATTTGCTAGGGTCGGCATGCCGGGGGCGTGGGCAGGGTGATGACGAAGGTGGTGGGAGGATTGAGCGCGATGCGAAGAAAAAGAGGGCTCTTCATTCTCGTTTTAATCGAAAAACATCTTTTATACGTTCTTTCATTATAATAAAAGAACCCGGGAAACTACCCTGCAGCACCCTCGTGGCACCGCGGAGTGAAAATGAGGACCAGCGGGTGGAGGAAGGTGCGATTCGGTGTAGAAAAGAGAAAAAGAAAGAGAGAGAGAGAGAGAGAGAGAGAGAGAGAGCTTTACGATATTATTTCGGCTCTCTAATTATTTTCTCCTCGCCACGCGTTATTAGATGTACGTTCTGAGGGTAAGGGGCTTGAAAAAGGGATTCTTTGGCAGATGTATACCCACTCGCTCCACCATTCTTCCGTCCGTCATATATAAAAAAAAGCCAGGCTGAATAAAGAACGTCGCGCATTCCGTACGCATACACTGCAAATAGGGCCGTCCGCCCAGAGTTTTCCATTTTCTGAAAGGCTTAAACAAATTATTCTCGTTGGTTTTTGCACGAATACATCTGCGCGACGGCAGCGGTGGTGGCTTCAGTGGCGACGAGTGCAAAAGAATATTATCGTATCCGAAACGAGATTTGCATATTTGCTACGGTGGCATTCATTTATGTAAATCCTATCCCCGGACGTATAAATATATATATAATGTGTGTACATATATATATATTATATTTCATGTGCGTATATGAATTATGTGTATATATATACACACACACTCACGTGTATACATATTATACACTCACATATACATAACAATAGCACCAGGATATCATATTTTCTGTTTGTTTGTAGGACAAAAATGGTTTAACGACGACACGCAAATGCATTTCTGCTTTCGTCGTCGCCGACGGATAGGATGATAAATATTTGACATATCATATTTGGTACAGTCTCCCGTTACACATTTCATATTTCTATATTATGACGTACACGGTTCGCTTAAAATATTTATACAAATCTCATTTTCTTCAAATCCCTCGATGTCTGACAACAGGATTTCAATGCGGTTTATACATACATTACGATTGCTTAAGATTAAAACCTATCTGATATTTTTGTCAAAAATACTGTTTCTATTCGATCAAACGTCTATAAATCATAAACAGATTCAGTTCAAAATTTTAATAACTTATTAGCGCCTCGAATAAATCATAAAAACAGAGAATTCAATTTGAATAATGCCAACCTAAAATCACTTTAAATCCAGCTAGGTAAATGGTTTAAGCGTCTTTTTTAAAATCTTTTATAAAAAGAATAATGTTTTACTATTATATACCAATAACTAGTATATTTGTGTGGCGATTTACCTACTAAAGCAACAATATTGGAAAAATATTTTCAAAAACTGTATCTGCTGTATATTAGATGTCACGAAATGTAAGCTTAATGTTTATGTAGGTACACAATATTATGTGCAATAATTGAATTAAAAATGTCTATTCCCGTTGATTTGAATGCATGTTTTTACTCAATATATATCTCCGTGTGACGGATATAAAATAATTTTTAAGGACTTGGGACATTATTTTAATATACTGAACAAAATTAGTTTGAAACTTAAAATGTTTTTGTATAGTAATTATAATAATAATACCATGTATAATAACTAATACAGTGTACAATGTAAACGATAATTTAGAGCGTTAGTGTATAGTACCTGTATCCTGTAACCCTTTACCGTATTCTGACAAAACTTTAATATTCATAACGTCTGTGTAGACAATATATGAAAACATTAGACACACGTATAGATTCAAAAAGTTGGATGTAGGTACGTCGTGTAGTACAAAATACTTGGACAGCTCGGGACTTTCAACAATTATTACAATGCATGCTTTTTCAAAAGGTTTGTCTATTACGAGGTATAATACACACATAAAAACAAAACATTTCAATAAAACAATTCAGTTAAATTACCAAAAAATTAAAACACATATTATTATATTGTACTACAAAATATCAGGTAAATGTCTCAACGTTATTGTGATGTATTATTTAGTTACGGTTTACGATATCATAACATAATCGTACCTGTATATTATAATTTATACCCTCGGACTCTATCTATGATAATTTTTTTTTTTTTTTTATTGAACTTAAGACCGGCGACTAGGGCCATTAGCTGTTGTAAGAGTTATGAACTGTGGTAGGAGTAAGGTTGGTTGTTTTTTTTTTACGATCGTTACGGTAGATAGCAAACACGTGTATGTGTGGCAAGGTTTTTAACTACTATGAACCCGGGTGGTCACCCATCCGGGAACTAGTAGCTGTGGCCGTTACTTACTACCAGTCGCATTCCGCGACTGGCAGCAGCCAACGCGCCAAGCCGAGCCACCTATGTTAATTGTTGAGCTGTAATAGTGTTAAACTTGGAGCCATTTAATAATAAAAAATAACCTCGGAGTGCAGACAGACGAGGAAACCTCGAGAGTGATCATGTAGCCGTTTAACAGTACCTACCTAATGAACGCGTTGTATAGTGCAAATGTGTAATAAATAGAAGTAATGGACAAACATTCACCAAGTGTAGTCGTATATAGATAGGTATACGATATAAGTATATAATAGGTATATAATATTTAATAAGTTGCAATAATAGTTCATTGTATTCGGTTTATTTCAACTTGTTTTTAGACCATGTGTACAAGCGTGTGTTCTTTTTATCGAAATATAATATGAAATATATAATTTTGTATCATTATCTGATGATTGTAAATAAGCATTATATTTAAAACTTATTTATTTATTTTTAAAATTGCAATGCTTATAGTAATGTGTAATATTTTTTTTTGTGTTTTCAGAAATCAAAATCTTGACAATAAAATCATTCCAGCAGCAAGAAAGTAGCTGAGAATATGATAACAACACAATGTATTGGACTCCTAAATGATTTGAAAACCTTAAAATAACGGATGTGATAATATTATTACAAATAAAATTGTCATTTTTTCAAGCCTCAGTTTATGGTTTTACTTTAATAAAAAAAGTATTATATATATATATATATACAGAGTAATTCACCAAGCATGAGCACTACTATTTTCTTAATAAATCCAGTTCTTATAGTCTGCTTTTTGGCATTTTTAAATATACTTAAATACCATATTTTCATATTCTTGAGATTTTTTTTTGTACCACTAAAAAGTGTCCATTAATCCATTAATACAAACTTTTGTTTTTCAAATGAGAATCCACCTTTTCAACTATAAACTAATCAGTGAATAATTTTCCTGAAAAATTTGACGTACCAGAATCAAAATTCGTACGAGTAATTTCTGAATTATTTAACATTTGGTAATGGCAATACGATTTGAAAATTGTAGTCATTAATATCAATCAATCATTATTAATTATTCGTAATAATAGCCCAAGTACCTATAGTAAATAATAGTTCTAATATTACGTCTATTTTGTATTTTTGTAAAACCACGTTTAAGGATTATTATCCTTAGTACAAACATTTTAATATCTAAGAAACTACTCATTCGAGTTTCAAATTAAGTACATCAACATTTTCAAATATAAGATCCACTAAATAATTTACAGTGAAAATAGGGGGGGGGGGGTCTCGTTTGAAAAACAAAAGTTTGGGAGACTCCTTAAGTACTACGAACAAAATTAAGAACTTGAAAAAATTGTTTTTGAGTGTATATTTAAAAATTCCACAAATCATTATTTGATTAAATTCATTATTAAAGGAAAAAAATCGTGATTGGTGAATCACCCTGTATATATACATGTATATTGTTTAGGTAAAATTATTATACCTACGATTTGAAAGGTAAGGATTGAAATTTGTGTTTATCGGATTACTCTTATTTATGGAATTTATGATATCAACAAACCTATTCTATGAATCGCAATTATAATTTAACTCTATAATTCAACTACGATTAAACTGGATGTCGAATTCTACACTAATTCGCCAAAACGAATATTTACTACCATCATTATTCATCTAAAACATTAAACTGGTACAATTTGTGATTCAAAAGCAATTTAAATAGATTTTACCTATAAATAACATTATTATATAGTAGGTATTTACTATTAATGTATTATCGTATTGGAAATGTATACAGGGTGTCTCTCTGTATTTGTAGATAACATTATTGTTTCGATAAGTATTAACTTTTTTCTAGATACATCCAATATCACAACGTTTTATATTGCGTCCTTATTGTTTACATATTAATTGTTTCTTGGGGAATTACACTTTCAATTTTTAAATGCGACAAACACCATATTTTTGAATTTTATAATTTAAAGAAGAATGCTTTGAAAAAAGTTCCAAAGTGTAAATATTGAATGTAAAACGTTGAAATATTGTTGTCGATAAGTATTCAACGCTAAGTTAAAGGTTGTGGCAGAGTGGTGCACCGCACCACAAATTAATTTCAAACGGTAGGTAGCTATATTAGCTATGTATAGTAGGTATATATAATAGTACCTATATGAAGAACCAAGTATGAACCTAGTCTGAACTTTAAAAAAAATCAGTGTTCGCTATTAAGATAATCACCATGTATAAATAAAATCAATTTTCCTCTCGCAAATGTCGAGTTGTACCAAATTATTGGAATCATTATTTATTATTTTATAATACTGCAAGTATCATCTGTTAAGTTTTTTTTTATTTTCGTACTATTGCCGAATCTAATATTTCTTGACCAATAATTTGAAATGATTTACTGAGTGTTATTGAATAATGAATATAAATTATAAATATATTCATAAAATATAAATTTTAAAAAATATGGTCATCCTCATCCCTGTTATAGGTACCGACATTCCTGTAGTGCATGTAAAATATTTTAAAGTCCTCTCTTGAAAAATTGCAATAAAGCCAATAGGGGTTAATACAATTTACATAATAAAGCAACGACTAACGAGTACATATATTTTGTTTACTCTTGCATATTTTTATACTTCCTCTTCTGTGACACATAATATAGTATTTGAGCAAACGCATTTTTTACATTCCATTCATCTAAGTAAAAAATCGATCACAGGTATCGTATGAATGTATAATACACCAGCGTCATTTTCGTCATTTTTGTAATTTGTCCTGGTCTACCAATAATTTATTGCGTAATCAATAGTTATAATAACTTCCTTATTTATTTTTTAATGTCTATGTATTTGTAAGTATTTGAATATAAAATAATATTTACGAACTTTTAATAAGTCCAGTTGCTTATTAGTATAATTTATATTATTAAGTTAGAACTATCAAGTCTACGGTTCAAATTTGATTTATTAGAAGTTTTTGTAAGTATCTATATCAAAACTAAAACTATGTACCTACATCAAGTTTTCGACATTTTTTTGAGTACTTGCTTTAAACTCGTACAAAATCAAAACAAATGAGTAAAATAATTAATTGCACAGAAGCTACATTGGTTCTTTTTTTGCAATTGATGACCGATAATTATAGTGCCGCGAGATCAATATCATTATTGTCAAAACGTCATTATTTTAACAAATGTGCAATTAGTGATGAAGCATCAATGCAATATGCGATAAGTTTATCTGTAATAGAAATGTCATTTTAGAATGAAGATAATAGAATTGCATGATTAAAGATCGAGTAACCTTTACTATTATTTACAATGATTTTTTTCACCGAATTTATATTATAATATCTAACAAGACGACAACGCAAGCATCAGGCATAGTCCCTCGGGAATTTTCTACATATTATCACCCAAATATTTTCTACTCTATCCTGTGTTTATACAATATTATGTATAATAAATTAAACACATAAAACCCGTGAATTTACATATTACATTATTTCAACAAATCATTAATTAAAAGGTCGATGGTCGTGATGTAAGGTTAAAAACCTCCGTACATATAATATGTATAATGTATATTTATTAAAACCTGCGTATAAATATATATTGTGTACCTACCACCACCTCCCTATTGCAATGTCAAATCAATAAGTTCACGAGTGCCGTATTGACGAATTGTTATTGCTTAAACGTAGCATAATATTTTTGGCCGCGATTTATATCGGTGTAAAAGTTGTATTTGTTTTTCCGGTTGGCCGGGAGACCGGAAATTATTGAATCGTCGCCCGCCGTTGCAGGTTGTACACATGCATCGTTGAAATACACACACATCCGTAGGTATAATGTTACCTGTACGTGCATCGTACATGTCCCGTACACCATTGTACACTGTACGGTAATATACTTAAAACTGTTCTCTTTCTGTTTAAGATATTATTATGTATTGTATTTTTTTTTCATCATTATTGTTCCCTTTCTTTTTGCTTTTGAGTTATTCGTCAAGACTTCACGACGGCTCGCACAATGGTGCCAAGTCGATTAATCATTAAAAAGTCAAAGGGCCGACGATATAGGAGACGTGCAGGCGTATCAAGGGGTGGTGGTGTACGGAGTGAGGGGTAGGGGTTGGGAAATTAACCCGGTTACCCGCGCTCCTGCCATATTTATTATTAAATTTTAAACTCTGGGTTCCCGGACCCTCTGCGCGCGAAGAATACAAAAGTATATATGCCACCACCGCCACCGCTGACGACGACGACGACGACGAGGTCGAGGACGACGAGACGTAGAGGCCGCCGGGTGAAAAGTTTATCGGGGTGGCGGCTGGAGATAAGCGGGGACGTTTGGGTGGTGAGGACGGTGGTAGGGGTGGTCGTGGCAGTACCAGTGGATTTCCCGCCTGGGGGCCATTGTTGAGAAAAAGCGGCTTTTCTTTATAAACGCGCATAGTAAGGGCCGCCCGAAAAACTTAAGACCCAAAGACGCTAAACTTTCCCGAAAACTTTACTAATATAGTCAGGGCGTTATTTCTTATTTCTTAAAATTATTTTACGCACATTGTTTTTGGTTGAAACACGCGGAAGGGGTGAGAGGTTAGATGATCGCCTTCCGTGACAGATGAATATAATAAATTAATATACATTATATTATTATAACACTGTACGAGTATTTCGATCGTAGTTTCTTTTTTCGACTAGACCAGATCGACCGCGACGTCGTGTTGCGACAACTTTAGTTGTGTAATGTGTGATTATGATTATTTTGTTATACTTTAATGTTTGTTTTTGGGACTTATTATTGTAGCAGACATCGTGGTTATTCTAAATGCTTTTAAAAAAAGCGGGTAGGTGGATGTCGCTCTGCTGTACTTTAAGTGTCTAGAAGGTCGCTGTAATTGATGGTATTAAATTTGAATTTAATGATACATCATTGTAAACAAAACTGAGTCTGACTGGAGATGGAACACTGGTCTTGCGAAAAAATTCTCGTTTTTCCTTAATTTTTTGTTTGTTTTTCCTATCGCTTTTAAAAAATATTGAGCATTTTAAATTTTGACCTCTAGATTGCATCAACTAGTTCACTTTCCTACCAGAAAAGTTGCTGTTGAAGAAAATCAAATCACTATAACTGCCCCGACCCGTAATAACAGTCATCATAATACATTTATCGCTCCGCTCAGAATCTAAAAAAACATGAACTACGCGTTATAAACTTATAAACGACTGTGTAAAGTAAAATACTAGTAATATATATTTTAATGTCACAGATAGTACCTATATATCCCACATAGTATGATGCTCAAGTACAATTTATTTTTGTTTTTATTTTATCCAATTAGGGTTTATTTGCCAACCTAGTTCAATTGTTATTTATGATTCTATTTTTTGGCTAGTTAATTTGTATTCAACAAATACATTTTTAATTAGTTAGTTGTTAGTTAGTCCTAAGGATTTTAACAATCAATGTGTAAATATATAGATAGTTTTGATTAATAAAAAGTTTAGATCGGATTTGAATTAATATTTCCGGATGAGCTTAGTTTCAAATATCAAATTAGGTTTGGCTCAAGTGATTTAATTAGATCGGTAAGGATGAGGTTTGTTTTCAAAATCATGGTTTGTGACATCACTTTATTGTCTTTATTTATGATATTCACAAT